ACCCAATAGGTCCTATTTATATTGAGTACAAAGAACAATGCTAATAAATAGCAACAGTAAACTAAGAGACTTATTTACAATAACAATAGACATTAATAAATAAGGGAACAGATAGCAAGGAAGTAATAAATGATAATCTAGAATATTCTACACTCCCCCTCAAGTTGGGAGATATATATTGATCATTCCCAACTTGCTGATCAAATCCTCAAAGGTCGGCTTAAGTAAACCTTTGGTGAGAATATCTGCCGTTTGTTCCTTGGTAGGTATATATGACAAGCATACACTACCGTCTTCTAATTTTTCTTTGATAAAGTGACGATCGACTTCCACATGTTTTGTTCTGTCATGATGGACAGAATTTTGAGCAATGCTGATAGCAGCTTTATTATCACAATATAATCTGATAGGTAGGGAATAAGAGATCTTCAACTCTTCCAGAAGCCTTCTTAACCAAATTCCTTCACAAATACCATGGGCTAAAGCCCGAAATTCCGCTTCTGCACTGCTTCTTGCAACAACAATTTGTTTCTTACTTCTCCAGGTCACAAGGTTTCCCCAGACATAAGTACAATATCCTGAAGTAGATCTTCGGTCCATTGCAGAGCCAGCCCAGTCTGCATCTGTATAAACTTCAATCATCCTTTTGTTCCCCTTTTTAAAGAGAATTCCTCGACCAGGGGTGTTTTTGAGGTACTTGAGAATTCTATAAACAGCACTAAGGTGTTTTTCCTTAGGAGAATGCATGAATTGGCTAACCATGCTCACAGCAAAAGCAATATCAGGACGAGTGTGAGACAAATAGATTAATTTCCCCACTAGTCTCTGGTACTGCTCCTTATCAACATCTTCCCCGTCCTCAACTCCCATCTTGATATTAGCTTCAATTGGAATCTCTGCTGGCTTGCACCCAAGCATACCTGTTTCTTGCAACAGGTCTAGAATGTATTTTTTCTGAGTTAAGGAAATTCCTTCCTTACTTCGAGCAACTTCCATGCCAAGGAAGTATTTGAGAGATCCAAGATCTTTTAGTTCAGACTGATCAGCTAAACATTTTTTTAAAGAGGCTATCTCCTCGGTATCATTACCAGTGACAATTATGTCATCAACATAAACAATGAGGATAGCAATTCTACCTTTGTCAGAGTGTTTAAAGAATAAAGTGTGATCAGTCTGAGCTTGGGTGAACCCTCTTCCCTTAACAGCTTGAGTAAATTTCCCAAACCATTCTCTGGGAGATTGTTTAAGTCCATAGAGAGACTTCTGCAACTTGCACACAAAACCATCCCCTTTTTCAAAACCAGGAGGTGGATCCATGTAAACTTCCTCATGTAGATCACCATTCAAGAAGGCATTCTTGACATCTAACTGTTGCAATGGCCAATCAAGGTTGGCGGCAAGAGATAGCAGAACGCGGATAGTGTTAAGCTTGGCAACAGGAGCAAATGTCTCCTGATAATCAATCCCATGAGTCTGAGTAAATCCCTTAGCAAGTAATCTGGCCTTATACCTGTTGATGTTGTTATCTGCATTAAATTTTATTGTGAACACCCACTTGCAACCAACAGTTTTCTTTCCTTTAGGTAATGTCACAAACTCCCATGTTCCATTTTTTATAAGTGCATCCATTTCTTCTAATACGGCGTTCCTCCATTTTGGGTCATCAAGTGCTTCTTGGATATTTTTGGGTATCCTAGTACTATCTAACATAGTGTTGAAAGCACGAAAACCTGGAGAAAACTTCTCATATGAGATATAATAGGAAATAGGATGAGCAGTGCAAGATCTAGTACCTCTCCGAAGGGCGATGGGCATATCAATGTTGGTTGTGCTAGTGCATTCAAGTGGGTTGCTAGAGCAAGGACTCGAGTCAGGATCCTGGCAGTCTAGAGTCTCTTGATGTGTTTTGCGCCTGCTGTAGAATTTTCCCCATTTACCAGGAGGATCACAAAGACCGGGAGGATCATTAGACTCAGGTATAGTTGCTCCCCCTGTTTCCTTCCCAATAACTCCCCCTGTTTCCAAAGGCCAAGGTAAGACAGCAGCTTCATTTGGTTTCCCAAGCTTATCTTCATCCATACCAGTAGACTCCCCCTGAAGAGAAGTCGGGGAAAAAAAGGATTGTGTCTCATAAAAGGTAACATCCATGGAAACAAAGACCTTACGGAGAGAAGATGAGTAACACTTATAGCCTTTTTGATTAGGGGAATATCCTATGAAGACACATCTAATAGATTTAGGGTCAAGTTTGGACCTTTGATGTGGAGGAATATGTACAAAGACCACACAGCCAAATATTTTGGGAGGAATAGAAGAAATAGCACAGAAAGAAGAAAAAGATTTAGTAAGACAAGATAAAGGAGAATGAAAATTTAGTACCCGAGAAGGCATTCGATTAATGAGATAAGAAGTTGTCAAGATGGCTTCCCCCCACAGATATTTAGGGACATGCATCGTGAATAAGAGAGCTCGAGCAACTTCAATTAGATGTCTATTTTTCCTTTCAGCCACCCCATTTTGTTGAGGGGTGTTAGGACAAGAACTTTGATGAATAATCTCATGCTGGTTTAGGTAATCTCCAAGAACAGAATTAAAATATTCAGTGCCATTGTCTGTTCGCAGAATTTTGATAGGAGTTTGGAATTGAGTTTGAATCATAGCATGAAAATTTTTAAAAGTGGATGCCGCATCAGACTTGTCTTTTAAGAGATATACCCAACATACCCTAGAATGATCATCAATGAAAGTAATAACCAACGAGCACCCGAGACATTTTTTTCACGAGCAGGTCCCCAAATATCACTATGAATCAATGTAAAAGGAGAAGATTCATGATATTTCTTAGGAGAATAAGTGACACGAGAATGTTTTGCAAGCTGACAAATATCACAAAGAAAGGAACTTGGCTTTTTATTGATAAATAAGTTAGGGAATAACTTCTGAAGATAAACAAAATTTGGGTGCCCTAATCTACGATGCCATAACAAGACATCATTACAATCATCTGATAAACATAGAGAGTGGTTTGAAAAAATCCTCCTTTCACAAAGATCCTCCTCCAAATAGTATAGCCATTCTTCCTCTCTAGCACTGCCAAGCTCTATTTGCCTCTGCCATTCTATGAGTCTCTTCCTTTTTATCATCATCCCCGAGTCCTGCTCCTGAAAGATACAAGCATTTGCAGAAAACTTAGCAACACAATGCAACTCAGCAGTAAATTTGCTAATAGAGATGAGGTTACAAGTAAGGGAGGGAACATGAAGGACTGAGTTCAAAATAATATGTTCAGAAAGTTTAATGGATCCCTTGCCCGCAATAGTGGAGAAATTTCCATCAGTTGTTCTTATTCGTGACGGGTGATAGTAAGGGGTATAGGAAGAAAATAAGTTTGCATTACCTGTCATGTGATCAGAGGCTCCTGAATCAAGGATCCAACGATTACTACGATCAACATGGAATGCCATACCTTTTTTAGCAACATGACTAGTTGCCTCAGCAGGTTGAGACATCAATTTCTGAAATTGCTCATACTGGGCCTTAGAGAGGAGAACACCATCGGGGTTTGAAGGGACATGAGACCCTTCCCCCTTATCTTCAGAAGATACTTGATTAGCACGATTCTTGTTCTGTCCTTTTGGTTTCCAGTTTGGTGGTTTGCCATGAATTTCCCAACATTTTTCACGGGTGTGACCACCCTTATTGCAATGAGAACACCAACGGTCAGAACGTTTTGAGTCCCCAGAAGGACGAGCAGTATTCTTTGTTATAAGGGCTGACCCATCAGAGGACTTAGAGTCCTTATCACCCAACATTACCTTTCGGCGAAGCTCCTCCCTTCGTACCTCAGAAAAGGCAGTGGCAATGGAAGGTAATGGGTTTTGCCCCAAAATTCTTCCACGAACATCATCCAGATCAGAATTAAGGCCAGCAAGAAAATCATAGAGACGCCTTTTTCTCTATATAATTTTTGAATATTGCATTAGCGTCTAAACCTTGAAGGTCTGCTTTATCATAAAGATCCAACTCTTGCCACAATGTTTTTAGAGCAAGGAAGTATTCAGTAACAGTCATCCCTCCTTGGCGTAAATCTTTCACCTTGGTGTTGAGTTCAAAAGCCTGAGAGGCATTGCCCAGGTCAGAGTAGTATTCTTTAACAGCTTCCCAAATTTCTTGAGCCGTATCAAGGAATAAATAAGTTTGACTGATATCCGGTTCCATAGAATTAGTCAGCCATGTCATGACCAAAGCATTTTCAGTCACCCAAGCATCATAGCCAGGTTCATGTTCTGCTGGTTGAACCTTTTTTCCATCCAGATACCCCATCTTCCCTTTGGCCTGGATAAACAACTTAACAGATTGACACCATTGCACATAGTTTCTACCGTTTAAACGGTGATTGGTGATCTGCATTGCTGGGTTGTCTCCAGAAGACGAAGAAATGGGAAGGGGTGAGGTTCCGGTCGAAACTCCAGATGAATTTTCAACATTTTCAGTGTCCATGGCTTCCTAACAACAATACCCAGAAAAAAAAATTCCTCCAAATATGATTTTGACCCTCAAAACAGGAAGAGGGAAGGTAGACGATCAGAACGGGGTATGACTCGCCGGAAAAAAAATGATGGGGGGGCGGCGTGTGAACCACACGCGCCGGCGAAGCTGGAGGATGTTGGCGGCACGTGGCTGGGTTTCCGGCGACGGGTCTTTTGCTGGCTTTTTATTATTGGTACATAATCTATCTCAAAAATGAAAATTGATCCTTAACCCCTTTTTATTCACTTCCCCACATCTGGTATGAATGCTAAATTAAAAATGTTCAAGAGAATTCACAAAAAATCACCATTTCAACTTAAAAAAAAAAATAACTCCAAACTCAGTCTAACATGAAAAAGGAAAAATCACCACCAAAGTGCATTTAAAAAAAAATAAGGTTGAAATTACCACACATAATTTAGAAAAAAATAAAGAAAACTGAAATTTTGAAGAGAGGAAGAAGGAAAGACCCGGATCATGGGCTTGCCAAGGATTTGAACAAGAGGCTTTCCCTGGAACCGAGAGGAAGCGAATCGGGCGAGTATAATACCGACGACCTGGCTTAGAAATTTGTTGAATCGAGTCAGGTAAGCTCAAGCACTAAAAGCTCTATTCTGATCGGCACAAGACAGAGAAGCGAAGAAAGCAACGTACACCAAACAAGCCTTTACGTACCTGGCAAAGTGCGGTTAGGAAGAAAGGATCGGCGGCCACAGGTAGCGGCGGTGTGTGGAGAAGGAGAAGAAGGCGCCGGCGGCGGAGACAGTGAGTGGCTGTAACTACTGTGCCGTGTGCGGTCTGTTATGGTTAAACGGGTCATGGATTAATCCGTGTTAAATGAACGGGGCATACTTGAATGCTGAAGGGTTTCGGATTCGGGGATTTTTTCAAGTGATAGGATATACTTTTTATAGTTATCCTCACAGGTTCAACCAATAATTAACATAGTCACAAGCGTTCAACCAATACATCGGATAACTAGAAGGAGGGTACTGTTCGATTCGTTATGTGCGTAGAAAAACATAATTATGATTCAATGGTATAATACTGTATTCACATGACACAAACAAAATCATTATTAAAAAAATTAACAATTAATGTGGGAATGCGAAATGCACTGAAATTCAGAAATATTTTTATGTAAAATCAACAACGCTGTTGATAATCTGGTAAAAGTCGAACCTGGTAAAAATCGGTCCCTCACTATCGTGTATTCAGCGAAGCTCTCTGCGCAACAGAGGCGGCAGGCGGCGGAGACAGAGGCTAGGGCGGCGGCGGCAGAGTGTATAATGAGAGAGAGAAGGGAAGAGAGAGAAGGGGGAGAGAGAAACGAATAGTGAGGGATTATTTAAGACAGCAACGAAGACCGTCGGATCGCTACTACCAATTTAACGGTGAGATGATGATTGGTCGTAACATTATTTGGTTGTCACAATATCCTCTTCCTATTATCTTTACAAACTAACTTAATTATTGTTGATTTTTGATAATTTAACTGTTATAATTTATTAAAATCTATTGAGTCGCATTAAATTGACGGAAATTAACGGTAATTAAGTTGGCTGTAAAAGTTGTAAACTTTTTAATGATAAGATTTTCCTTTTTTTAAAAGCATTTTTAAAATTCAAAAACATATTTTCTTTCTTTCTTTTCTTTTTTTGGAATTAATTTTTATTTATTTTCCATCCATTTAAAAATAGTTTTCCAAAAACAAAATAACCTAAAAAAATAATAATAACCTAAACAAAATAACGTATTAAAAAAATAATAATAACCTAAACAAAATAACGTATTCAAAGTTTTTTTACTTTCATGTTTATAGCCACAGTCACGGGTGTTATACTTGGTCTTCTTTCATTCTTTTCGATAATTTGTGCTAATAGAGATTATTGTGAATTCATGCTAATAAGAGGTAATTGTTGGATCCTGTGGGAAAAAAAAAGTAAAAACTAAATTAGGTAGGATTGAAAAAAAAAAATTATTAACTTGAACCGATCAAATTTTATTACGATTAGATTGATTTTTTTTTTTTTTTTGATAACAACGATTAGATTGATTTAAGTTGATAATAAGGCTGTCATTCTTATTTTTTGAAAAGATTCTGTCAAATTATTTTAACATTAATTCTTTACAAAAATAATCAAAGTAACACTGGTACATATCAGGATTTTTATTTGAGGAAAAAAAATTGTAATCTATTTAAAATTAACAATTAATTAATTAATAGAAATCAATAAATTATAATTATTACAGAGACATAAATTAACGATTAAAATAAGGAGTAAAACTTTTTAATTTTACACGGGGTTCAAAAGATCCCTCTACTTTTATTTTTTTTTGAAAAATTATAAAATTAAGGTGATTGAGTTAACTCAAATTTTATTATCTTGAAAAGAGAAAGAAAAAAAAAATCCTAACTAGAAAATTAGGAATTGCCCCCAAGGTTATGGGGATGAAGAAGCAATATCTTTTTTCCTTCATTCGAAGGCAGCGAACATATTGGCAAATAATCAAGTGAACATAGAGAGAGGTATGTCTTCCCTCTTCCCACGAATCAAATATATTAATGAGTATTCAATCTCCAAAGTACCGAATTGACAAATTCATAACATTCATGACCCATTAGCAAAATAGCAAAGCTTCAACAATCGACTAAACCTTTGCTTTTTGCTTTGTTTTGTTTCCCTGAAGGGGATGTTACGAAACAGTTCGTTAATAATGTTGAAGCCCAGCTCGAGGAATTTTTGTTCGGTAACAAAGAAGAGCTTAAGCCCAAAGAATGATGTAATTGACAAAGAATCCAAATTTCCCTTCACCTCTATTTTAACTGTGCACGGGTTATAGTTTTCACATTAAATGGTTCAGAGCTATAAAGGGAAAAGGAAAAAAAGGGGAGAAAGCTAGCAACAGTAGAACAGCTGAAATGGCTTCAGAAATTGACTTGTCAACCTTGTATATATGTTTACATCCGATGACAGTTTGAACACTGGAAGGGTCATGCTAGATTTATAAAGGTTCAACATGTTAAATCATCATACACATTAACAAATGGCTCGGTACAGATAAGGAAAAATGAAAGAATTGAATGGCGTGGGATGGATGGAAAAGATTCCATCACCAACCATTCCATTATCTATAATTTTAATAAATCTAGATAATGATAGCTAATGGCATTTCATTCTGTTTCCCTCAATTTCATCCCTATCCACTAATCCATAGTCTAAAATAAAACACTTTCCACAATGATGTACTCAATAGTGCTTCTTACCAGCACCCTTTTTACCATGTGTCATCTTACTTCCTTTCCTTTTTCCTGTATTGGACGTATTGATCCCAGTGTCATGATCTCTTGAGGATGCTGAATTTAGCAAATGCTTCACATCGAGTATGCCATTTCTAAAACGACCTTCACTTGACTTCAGACCCCTGTTCTCAAGCTTGTGCTTCCCAACTGATCTTTTACTGCTACCGCCAAGCTTTCCCCCAAATTTTCCAAGAATCAAATGCTAAAAGCCATATGTCGTACATATAGGAATAAGGTCAGTATGAGTCAGACAAACACAAGAAAAAAACAATGCAGGATAATAGAAATTAATTACCTCTTGGAGCATTTTCTGTTCCCTCTCCTTTTGTTTCTTCATCATTGGTCGTGCCACACTTAAAGGTAACCTCTGATTCTTGGGGGGCTACATATGGGCAAATGAAACACACTAAAAAATTTGTTTCCTGAGGATCCTGGTAATGCTATTTGCATTGGCACAAAATGTAGAAAAGAGTGCATCAACTAACAGTCCTCACCTTCCCACCAAGAGAAACGACCTTCCTATTTTCAATCTTTTTGCGTTCTTTCCATGTCATATGTGAGTAGCCTGAAAAATATGGTAATTACCAGCCATTATAAGAAGCAACTACGCTTTGATATCTAATAGACAGTGGAAAGGCAAACAAAACCAGGTGAATTGATTATGGTTACCCTAAATTCTTTAGCTCCAACACCCTCATATTAAAATAAAGGCACAGATATTTTCTTATCATTATTGCAAAGTTATAATGCAATGCATTTTGAATGGAAAAAAAAAAAAAACTAAACAGAACTTTTTTAATAGGGAAAAAAGCAATTATTGGCACAATTTTAACCTACATATTCTTCTGAAATTTCGAAGTTGTGTTCTTAAATTTCCAACAACAAATCGAATCCTAAAAAATGAAAACATATATAACATGCAATGAACTATATGATTCAATTTTCTAAATCACCCAGGTTAAGGAAACTATAGTCCTAGATTACTACAGAAAAAACTTAAAAATAAATGTTACATGTGACCCTAAATGTTACTCAAGAACATCAAAGGACAGTGCTAAATCACAGCCATTGCCACTTATCCTAAAACACAACTCTGTAAGTTTTTTCTTGCTAAACAAGAAGTTTATATCCAGACAGTTTGAACTGAGAAGGTTAAAACGTTATGTTCACAGCCATTGCCACTTATCCCAAAACACAACACTGTAAGCTTTCTCTTGCTAAACAAGAAGCTTATATCCAGACAGTTTGAGCTTAGAATGTTAAAATGTTATGTTTCGCACAAGATTTAAAAGAAGAAACTTTATAAGGAAAGGAAACCTACAAGGAGGAGGATAATATATTCATTAAAAAGTTTATTCCTTGACCTACTGAATTATGAATTTTAAATTCTCCAACTCCTCCATAAACTTCCAAATCCAAAATCAAAAAATGAATTGAAACATACAGTCGTAACTCATAACTTCCTTTAACAATGCAATGTCATCAGCTTATATGACGCACTAAGCTTCTAAACTACGAAATGAGCATCAGTATCCCTATCACATCTATCCAGCCACATAAATCAACATAATCCATAAAAGTCTACTCTAAACTCAAAAGAGTTAAGTTACCAAGCATGTATATCTGTTCAAGAATTAAGCTGCATCAGAGCAGACAAAAGAAATCCAACCTAATTATACAAAATAGTATATTAAGAACCAAGAACATAATCATCCGCTATTCATTATGCATTGTCTACATTGAATATATATTTGTTGCGCATTGACAAATTCAAAGCAGATTCAATGAAAATATAAAGACAACAGTCAAGAAATGGGAAAAGAAAGTCAAAGTGGAAAAAGAAGATGGAAATTACTAAAATTTTCAACGTCTTTCATAATCTTCCTTATATCCATTTCTTGCTCCTGCATATCGGTATGTTCTCTTGAAGGTCCAAGCCCATCAGCTTGTTTCTTATTCTTGTGCATCTTTCCCATCACTGCTTGGAAAATTGAAAGGAAAAAGATATTTAAGAAAAGAAAAAGTCACAAACCAAACTTTGAAACTACAAACTCAAATCAGAGCAAAAACAGTTAAATGGATGCCTTAAAAGCTTTGTCTCTTCTTATAAGCAGTACTGCAAAATTATAATCATCGCTTCTGGATAGGAATAAGCAAGTAAAGAAAAGGATAAAAATACTACATAAAGACAACATACATCCAAGTCTTAAAAAATAAAGCATATAAATTACAATACTGAAAGAGTCCATCATTGTATTGGGCACTTGGTAGTTAACCAAAACATGAGAACACGACCATTGAGTGTTCATTACGTCATCTAAGTTAGCGACATGACAAGGAAGAGAAAATGCAGGCGTTAAAGCATCAAACAACATGGGATCTTATCCCTCTTCCTTCGAGAACACATGACATTGGTTGTAAGTGGGTCTAGTGGTGTACACGATTAAAGTCAACCCAAATAGAACCATTGCTCATCTCAAGGCTATACTGGTTGCCAAAGTTATGCTCAGACTTATCTGTTTGTTTGTTCATCTTGTTGGCTGCTTTCCATCATTGGCTACTACATCAGCTTAATGTCAAGAATGCCTTTCTCAGTGATTTTTACAATAGGAGGTTTATACGAAGCAACTACTTAGCTTTGTTGTTCAAGGGGAGTATGGTAAAGTTTGTCGGCCAAAACAATTCCTATAAGGTCTAAAACAATCTTCTTGGACTTGGTTTGGGAGGTCAAGCATTGATTCTTTGTGAAGAAAATATAACTCCAGAGAAGCTCAAAACTTTAGCTCTCGAAAAAGAACTGGCAAAAAGAAAGACACTTGCTACTTTCCTTGATGGGTGCCTTTAAAAACAGGATATGATATAAGGCATTATCACAATCATTATTATAAGCCACATAAAACCAGAATGAAACAAAAAGACCTTTGAAAAAACAAATAAAAAAAGGAATCAGCAATGATCTGTCTCAATGGCATAGTATGAAGTTGCTTTTAGATTCATATTACAATTTGTTGAACTCTCTGATTATAAAAGGGGAAACTATTACCACAAACCTAAGTTGTGAGTTGAAGTCTAGAAGCACAGAGCATACAAGCTTTCTATTGTAGCACTTCAAGTTCTTTTCTGAGCATTTTCTGGTCAGTGGAAGCTCTCTTCACAAATCTAAGTTGTAAGTTAAGTTTAGGATCCATATAAATATTGGTGCATACAACGTACTTAATTAGCCATGAGAACAGGATCCATATTTGTAGTTATTTCCCTTCTCCCCCTTAGTTTGCTATAATACTCCATTTGATCATGTCTAATATTTTTTAGGGTGGTGATTGCATTAGAGGAAGGAGACAAACTAAGGGGAAGATATTAAATAAGCATATACATAACATTGTATTTGGAATAGAGGGATAAGGGAATAATATTGTATATCTCGGCCATGTGAATAAATATAGAGATATTCAATTTCTTCTATAGTTTTTTTTAATCTAACTTTATCATCCTATTTTCTAAAAATTGAGATTTAATTTGTGCACAGATTTTATGGCTATGTCAATCAGTCTCTAGCTAAGAACACAATTATTTTATTTCATATTATATTACCCCGGGTATTTCAAAAAATCTACAGCATGTGGTATACAAGTGCAACTCACAACACCTTCCCAAGAACAAGAAAATCCCAAAACACTCAAAAAAAATCAACAAAAACAACAATTATCTGAAATTCTGCTCGTGTACGTGAACAACCAATATATTGCTGCAACTAAACAACAAATAAGAACGAGTTAACAACACACAAATAAAGTTTTAAAAAATGCTCGATGCACTCGCGGTGCCCGCCTACCTTGACGGCTGACCTCGCGGTGGCTGAGAGAGTGAGGCGAGAGGGTTGGGAGGAGAGGTCGGGCGGCTGAGCCCTGAGCTCACGGCAGTGGGTTATGTTTCGCGTTTTGAGTAGGGCGTCAAAATAGGTTTAAAAATATAATTATGAAAACAAAAGGGAAGGATATACTTATCATATAAAAATCTACCACCTTTATAATCAATTTAATTTCTGTTAATTTCTGTCAATTTAATGGTTATAATTTATTAAATTTATTGGGAATTAATAAATAACTAATAAATGTGATCCAATAAAATATAATCATTAGACTGACGGTAAAAATTTTATGGTAAGTATATCTAAGGATGTTCGCGGTCTGGATTCGATCGATTTTGGAAGCAAAAATCATCTAATCCAATCCCTTCGGTTTGATCATATAATCATCCGTTCGGTCTTAATTTTTTTCAAATCCAATCCGATCCAATCCAATTTTTTTCAGTTTGGATTGGATCGGTTTTCGATTTTTTGAAAATCCTAAAATTTATTTTATGATTACTGTGCAAATAGCATATTTTGTATATATTGGCTTTGTAATTTTATTTTTTTTGAAATACAAAAGCATTAGTAAACATAATATAATTTTTTTTTTGGATAATAAGATATGAAGCTCTAAAAAGATTAAAAAAAAAAAATTTTGATGAGATGTGACTAGATTTTTTCTTGGGTTTAGTTGATGGATTAATGAGTCTTGGATTTAAAAAAATTTGGGCTATGATTGGGGAAAGACCCAAGTAGGTAGAAGGAAATTAATATATTTGATCGGTTTGGATTGGATCGGTTTTCATCAACCCATCCAAAAACCGATCTAATCCAATTAAAATTTGCAGTTATTTTTCGATTTTCGGTTTATTCATTTATCGATTTTTCGGTTCGGTTACCGCGGTTTGAATCGGTTTGGATCAGTTGATGAACACCCCTAAGTATATCCTGGCCCTATATATATATATATATATATAGGAAAAAATATTTCTACAGCCACTGTAGATAAAGTTATCTACAGCTACCTCAAAAACTACGTCGTTTTGATTAATGAAGAGTGTTTCTGTAATTTTAGGTGAATTAATGAAGGGTGTTTCAGTAAAATGTATATGATAAAAAAATAAACAAGATTATGAAAATACCTTTCATTAATTCACCTAAAATTACAGAAACACCCTTCATTAATCAAAATGACGTAGTTTTGAGGGTAGCTGTAGATAACCTTATCTAAAGTGGTTGTAGAAATGTTTATCCCATATATATATATATATATATAGGTGGGATCCTTTGACACTAATGTCAAATTTGAAGTTTGACACCTCATCTGATAGTCGTTAGATCAAAAAGATCAATGGTGTCACATGCTTACAAATCAGAGTCGTTGTTTTTTTTTGATCTAACGGCTATCAGATGAGGTGTCAAACTTCAAATTTGACACTGGTGTCAAAGGATCCCACCTCATATATATAGGAATTCATAGTTAATTTAATTAAATTATAAATTGATTTTAAACTTATTTAGTTATTTATTAATTTCTAATAAATTCAATAAATTATAACCGTTAGATTGGCAGAAATCAACGGAGATTAGGTTGATTGTAAATGTGGTAAAAAAATTTGGTGGCAAGTATATCCTTCCTATATATATGTGTGTGTGTGTGTGAAAATACACAAGTTGTTACAAATAATGCATAATTTATTTAAATTTTATCACTAGAATTCCTAGTTAATTTAATTAAATTATAAATTGATTTTAAACCTATTTAGTTATTTATTAATTTCCAATAAATTTAATAAATTATAACCGTTAGATTGACAGAAATCAACGGTGATCAGATTGGTTGTAAAGGTGGTACATTTTTTTGGTGGTAAGTATATCATTTCCAATATATATATATATATATATATATATATATATATATATATATATATATATATATATATATGGTCTATCTGGTATCCAATCGCTAGATATAAGATTCTGTCCAATGACCACATTATAAATTTATACTTCGGGGATACATAGTTATAAGATAAGCGTTATTCTTACAACCTAAAAGTTTTACAATCTCTTACAACTTATTTTTTCTCCGTTGATTTATGTCAATTCAACTGTTACAATTTATCGAAAATTAATAATTAATAATAAATGTGAGCCAAAAAATCATAATTGTTGGATTGACGAAAATCAACGGTGAAAAAATAAGTTGTAAGAGATTGTAAAACTTTTAGGTTATAAGAATAACGCTTCTCTAGTTATAATATTAAATTATACTTTTTTCACTTTTCACCTCAGTAGATAAGTTTATGAAGAGAGAAAAAAAGTGCAACTTTAGCATTTTATAATTATGTATTCCCCGGAGTATATAATTGTAATACGAAAACTGGACAAAACCATATATCCAATAACTGAGTACCCAATTTTTCATATATATATATATATATATATATATATATATATATATATTTATATTTATTTGCATCTTTCATTTAACAAGAGAAGAACAAAGTTCTTGCACATACAAAAAGAAATTGCACGTAAAATGATGTGTGAGTAATAGGAGAAAACATTACCCCGGTTAAACGAGAAAGTGTTTTTGGATATATGGCTTTGCATCTTTCATTTAACAAGAGAAGAGCAAAGTTTCCCCACACACACTTTGTGTGGGGGCCATCATAGACGAAAAAATTAAAAATAAAAAAAATATTTCACGTAAAATAATGTTTCAATAACCTGAGAAAACAATTCTCCTATTAAAGGAGAAAGTGTTTTCCGTGTGTGTGTGTGTATATATATATATATATATATATATATATATATATGGGTTCATTTTTTTTTGCAATTAATGCAGATAAGTTATCTGCATTGAACCGGAAACGATGTCGTTTTGGAGCGAAAATCAAAGTATTTTTGTAATTTTAATTTATTTCAGGGTTATAATGATCTTTATAATTATAATTTTTTAATATTTCAACACCAAAACGACGTCGTTTTGGAAGTAAATGTAGATAACTTATCTGCGGTAACTGCATAAATATTTCTCTTTATATATATATATATATATATATATATATATATATATATATATATATCCTAAAGATAGTAAAAATAGAAAAAAAATGAGTAAAATAACTTTTGGTCCCTTTGTAATTCAAAATAGACCCAGTTAGTCGAAATTGTGGTCCCTCTGAAATTCAAAGAAGACCCGTATTAGTCCTAAGGACTAACGTGGGTATTCTTTAAATTTCAGAGAAACCACAAGTCGATTTTTTTATTCTAAGTGATTATATTGGGTTCCGTAATTTTTGTTGAGGAAACAAAATGTACTTTACTCGGAAGAAATTATAATGTGAAACATAGAGTAAAGTACATTTTGGGTGCTCAACAAAAATTAAAAAACCTATTTTAATCCCTCGGGAAAAAAAATTTATCTTGTGATCCGTCCGAAATTCAAAATAGACTCAATTAAAAGGATTAACCTTCTTTGAATTTAAGAGGGATTACGAATTGATTTTTTTTTCTAAAAAATTAAACTTGATCCTGTAATTTTGTTGAGGACGCAGACGGTAATTTACTTCAAAAAAAATCTAATTGGCATGTCAAAATTTATAATTTGGTAAAGCAATAAACCATACAAAATTACTATTACATAATAAAACCAACTATTATAGCAAAGTAATATCATCTAAAATCCTATAAAATAATAAATAACAGTAATTATTATAGTAATTTTAGAGGTTATACGTTGCTCACTTTATTTAACTTCTACCTCCAAAACAAAGCCAACATAAAAAAAAGTAACCAAATGCATTAATACAAAATTGATATACTTCGTTAAGATTTAACAAAATTAATTAGATAAATATATGTGCAAATGCTATTAATATAATTCATTATGAAATTTCCAATTTAAACCTAAGAACAAATTTGAAAGAAAAAATTCCTATCAGTAAAACTAATAAATATGGATCAATATTCTATTTCTCTCTTTTTTTTATTACTATTGATCCACCTTTATATAGTTTTAATTCTTCTATGACCATATCATATATATTTTTAACATACAAAAATTCAGATCCAATAAATATAAGAGAAAGATAGATTAATACAAAATTTGTTCATACGTTGTAAATATATGAATACAACAACTATAACTATAACCTCGGTTTTCAGCAAAATAACAAGACTTGCCATCCTCATCAAGATATAACTAAAGCCGCACTTAAAATTCAATTCCATTGTGCGTCAGCACCAAACTCACTTCCGTCACAAGTTAACATTCCTATAAAACTATAATCAGCTTTCATTTATAATAACAATAATAACCTCCAAAACAAAGCCAACATAAAAAAAGTAACCAAATGCGCGCATTAATACAAAATTGATATACTTCGTTAAGATTTAACAAAATGAATTAGATAAATATATTGCAAATGTTATTAATATAATTCATTATGACATACTCATTAAAAGGTGCAGTTAAGACAAAAAAAAAAAAAAAAAAGTTTCACTGATGATACCACCACATGCATTACCCTAGAGGAGTAGCCACATTAAGGCTTCGATTCTAACTGTGTCATCTATTGCTAAACTAATTTATGACATCTAATACATGCATTCTGATAATATACATGCATATTTCTCTAATTTGCATATCTATACAATTTTCTCTTACATGTTCCCCCCTCTCAGAATCAACACAGAAATTTCAACTTTTTTTTTTGGTAAAGTTAACACTTTTTAATTAGTGTTGGAAAGCTAATGCATATTAAGAAGATGCACTAAGTAACAATCGGAAGAACATGCATGTTGCAAATAAATTAACTCGTAAAAGCTTAATTACTGATACAGTAATTTGATAGAATGAATGCAATGACTGCTTGTCATTAATTTGAAACTTAATGTGAACCAGGCATATGTTACGAAGAGAGTTTCCATACGTGAGAAGAGGCATTCAGTGAGGCTGAAGGAATACATAGCTTAAGGTTCGCATGAGGCCACGTGTCTATTGTAAACAATAGTACAGTGAAGTTCGTATAGGTGTCTATTGTAAACATCAGTATAGTTGAAGTTAGTACAGGTGGCTACACACCTGTAGTGA